GATTTTCAAGGTCACACAACTCCCCACCACAGGTACAATTGCCAAGAAGCAGCATGGTTTACTAAAGTGAATTTTGAGAATATTTTTACTAATCACTTTATCTCTTACTTAAAATGTACAGTTTGATGTTTTGACAATATATACAGATCCACAGTATTATCCCCACAAGAAGAACAGTGAACATGTCCATCATTCCAAGTTTCCCCCAGGCAACCACTGATCGGTTTTCTGTCACTGTAGATTAGTTTGCATTTCCTACAATTTTACATAATTGAAATAATGTGGTATATACTTCCTTGTCTGGCTTCTTTCATTCAGCAGAATTACTGCGATTCATGTATATTGCAGCATGTGTCAAGAGTTGGTATCTTTATTGCTATATAGTATTCTATTGAATGGATATACCACAATTTGCTTATTCCTTCACCAAGGGATGCATTTTTATACTGCATCCAATTTGGGGCCATTACAAGTAAACCTGCTATGAACCTTTGTGTACAAGCCTTTGTATGGACATCTGGATAAATGCTTTAATTTCTTTGAGTAAATACCTATGAGTGAATGTGGATCACAGAGTAGAGGTGTGTTTAACTTTGTAAGAGACTGGCAAACTGTCTTTAAAAGTAGTTGTACCACTTGCAATCTTATCAGCAGTGTATAAGCAAGAGCTCCAATTTCTCCACATCCCTGTCAGTACTTGATGTAGTTGGTCTCATTAATTTTAGGTGCTCTAACAGGTATGTAGTCCTATGTCACTGAGGTTTTAATTTGCATTTCCCTAATTACTAACAATATTAAACATCTTTTCACGTGCTACATACCATCCTGTGTCTTTGGTGAAGTATTTATTAAAATCTTTTGCCCATTTAAAAAAATTGAGTTGTTTGCCTTATTACTGAGTTTTGAGAGTTCTTTACACATTCCACATCTAGATAAAGTCTTTTTCAGAGATATGATTTGCAAATATTTGTACCAGTCTGTTGCTTATCTCATTTTCCTAACAGGGCCTTACAAATAGCAGAAATTCTTAATTCTGACAAAGTCCAATTTATCAATATTTTCTTTTGTGGATCGTGCTTTTGGTATTGTTTTGTGTAACTCAAGCTCACAAATAGTTATCTCTTGTGTTCTATTCTAGAAGTTTTACAGTTTAAGGTTTTAACTTAGGCCTATCATCCATTTTGAGTTAATTTTTATATATGATGGAAAGTATGGATAAAAATTCTTTTTTTTTTGCCTGTGGATGTAATTGTAAAATCCAGAACATCTGGAGGAAATATCATCCTGTCCTCATTCAATTGCTTTCATCAAAAATTATTGTCTATACATGAGTAGCTTTATTTCTGGATTCTTTATTGTGTCTCATGGATTTGTTTTTTGTTCCATACTGTTTTGATTACTGTAGTTTTATAATAATTTTGACATTAGGTAACATTAGTTCTCCAACTTCATCTTTCTCAAAGTTGTTTTTGTTATTCCAGCTTCTTTGCATTTCCACATAAATTGTAGAATCAGCTTGTCAATTTCTATCCCCCCAAGACAGCCTGCTGGGATTTTGACTGGAATTGTGTTAGATCTATAGATCAATCAATTTGGGGAGGATTAAGCCAACCTTGCATTCCTAAAATAAACCCCACTTGGCCAAGATATATTATTATCTTTATAACATATTGTATTCTATTTGCTAACAATTGGTTAACAATTTCTGTATCTATGTTTATACATATTGGTCTTTAGTTTTCTTGTAATGTCATTAGGTTGGTCTTGGTATCAGACTAAATGACTTCTAAAATGAGTTTTAAAATATTCCTTCCTCAATAAGGACCTTAGTGGAAGAACTGGTGAAATTCAAATAAAGGCTGGGGTTTAGTTAATAGTAATGCAGCAATGTTGTGTTTTGGGTTGTGACAAATGTCCATAGTAATTTAAGATTTTAACAGTAAGGAAACATGTTAAGTTATATACAGGAAGCTCTGTTCCATCTTTGTAACTCTTCTGTAAATGTAAAATTATTCTAAAATAAAAAGCTTATTAAAATATTCCTTCCTCTTTAATTCTCTGGAAGAGTTTGTGTCAAATTGGTATTATTCCTTCCTTAAATATCTGGTAGAATTCATGAATGGGTCCATTTGGGCCTGGAGTTTTCTTTGTGGGAAGGTTTTTACTAGAAGTTCAATTTCTTTAGTCGTTGGAGGACTAAACAGGTTATCTATTTCTTATTGAGTGAGATTTGGTATTTAGCGTCTTTTGAGGAGTTTGTCCATTTTATCTAAATTGTCGAATTATTGGCATAAAACTTCATAATATCCCTTTATTATCCTGTCACCTTGCTGTATCCTGCTGGGTAGAAGCAAGTCAGCCTTGTCCAGGCCCAGGCTATACATCAGCTCACACCAACCACAAATGCACCATCTTCTATTTTACTCCACGGGGGAAGCTAATGTGTTTGGATGACCCTGGGCTCACTTGGCCAACATTGTGGTAGGTGTCTCCTTTATTGTTTTGTTCTTGCACCACTAACTGGGCCCCGTGCCCTGAGACCTGGGCGTCCCCTTCAGGACAGGCTTATCTGTGGATCACGGGGAAAGGTTGGTGGAGAAGACCTGTAAATGGGGTATATGATCCAGGAGGGAGGAATCATCATTCCGGGGGAGAATCATGATGAGCTCACAAAACTCCTGAATGAAATACCCAGGCTGGATGAGCCACAGGACCTGCTGGGGCCACATCTTGAACCTCCTGGGAATTCAGTCATTGCCACAGGGCACTGCACAGATCCACATGAAGAGAACAAGGCCTGGTGGGACCTCTGTGGTGAGCATGCTGGGGGCCTCAGCTGTCAGATATGTTATAATAATAATCATTAAAATAACCCCTGACATTTTTCAAATGCTTCTTAACTTACTAAGCATTTCCAGCTGGTTTATATGAGGTAAGAATTATCAGCCTTAACTTAGTAGAAACTGGAGCTAAACAAGATTAACTTACTTGCCGAAGGACGAGAATAGGCAAAAAAAACCCAAAACAACAACAACAACAACAAAAAAACGTTGGGCCCAAAAGAAAGATCTTAAGGTGGTTTTAAAAGATTTCTGCAAATTTTTTTTGGCCATGCCTCTGTTCAAAAGCTGCAGTCTGATTCCTCCCACCCTCAGTGTGGGTTGGAATTAGTGACTAGTTTCCAAAGAACAGAATGTGGCCAAACTGACGCTGTCTATGTGACGACCAAAGCTAGGGGTGTGAGTGTGCACGGAATTTTGCTCCTCTCTCCTCCTCCCCCGCACACGGGAATCCAGCTGCCAAGGTATGAGGAAGCCTAGATCATGCGTCAGTGTCAGCCAGCATCAACCCTCAGAAATGTGAGTGAGAGAGCCCCGCAAGCTGTGAACATCAGCCAGGAGTAGCTGTGCAACCCAGAGCCGCGGAGAAAAAAAGGAGCCACCCCAGGAAGGCGACAGAATCCACACCTTGGCTTCTAGTTCCTTCGATGCTCTAACCAATGCTTTGATCAGGATTCAGGCCTCTATATCAATCTCTGAACTTGACAATGTGTTTGGATGACTCTGGGCTCACTTGGCCAACATTAACAGAGTGTGTCCATCCATCATTCAAGTTTTGATGCTGGGGTAGAATCAGAGAATCTATTCTTGCCAATCAATACATCCCTGCCCGTCCTCTGGCGTCATTTTTCCCAGCAGCTAGCGTCGGAAGCTAACTGCTTCTCAATAAATCAGGGGCCAAACTTTCCAACATCTTCCGGTTGCCACTGGGGGCTCGGAAGTCTCACAGCTGCTACCCTGCCTCGAGGCCTATACCAGGGAGTCCCCCTCCTTAGAGAAGGAAGCCCTGGATGTGGCCCCTGGGGGACGTGCAGAGCCACTAAAAGGAAGTCTCCTGTGCAGTCAGAGACGAGACACAAGGCCCAGCATCTGTGATTTCTTCTTTCTTCTCGGGAATCTCCACTCTGTTTCTCTTGGCAAAAATTCGGTTTATTTCCACAAACGTTCGGCCCTTGGTCTCAGGAATGACCACATAGATGTAAACAGCAGTGAGGAGGCAGATTCCAGCAAAGATGACGAAACTGTAGGCACCGATGACCTCCTAGGCCAAGAGACAAGAAGAGAGGAGGGGGTGGAGGAAGAAAGATGCCATAAACAGCTCTGGGTGAGGCATTTGTGAGTCATGCAGGAGCTTCTCCGGGGCCAGTTTTACTTTACTCTCAGAGAAGTGAAATAGCTAGAAAATTCGGTCCTGCCCTGCTGTCAAAAAAGGCTCCTTAGCCTTTTAACAACAGGGACACTATGTCCTCTAGACTTGACTGCTAGCCTTCGGAAACAGAGGAAGGAGGTGGTGGTGGTCAGGGGAGGGGGGAACTGGTCCCTCACCCAGGCTCTAGCTTGCTGTGAACTTGGCCGACCAGAGCCCCTGTGTGGTCAGCCCTTCACGGTCTGAACCCAGGAGCTCCCTTTAGCTGGGGGGAAACCTGGGTAGTCACAGTTTGGCAGAAGTGGTGCCATGTGTGTTTTATGGACCTTGAACGTGTCCGAGAGCAGCGCCTCTTGTCGAATGATGTTCTTAGTGGAAGGGCAAGCCCTATTTCCCGGAGCCCCGCCTGCCTTGGGGGCGCACAGAGAGCAAGGGCAAGGGGCCGCCCCCACCCCCCACCGTGCTTCCCGCCGGAGACGCCCCCACTCACCTGGACGGAAGGGAACACGAAGCCCACGATGAAGTTGGTGAGCCAGTGCACAGCCCCGTCCACCATGAAGGCGGCCGGCCGCGAGGACTGCAGGAAGATCTCGGTCCTCACCACGGAGGGGACGGGACCTGGGGGCAGAGAGCACGGGCGAGTGGAGCGGAGGGGGCTCGGAGGGTCCCAGCGGGCTGGCCGCGCGCCCTGGGCCCTGGTCCCAAACCCAGACCCCTCGGAGCACAGTCTGTCCCAGACGGCAGGGGGAGGAAGCGCACATCTCTCAGCCAGCTGCTTCCACTCCCCCCGGCTTCTCCTCAGATGAGCTCCGAGCTGAGCCTTAAGGTCACACCAAGGTCACTCTCCCCCGTGTTGGTGTCATTTTTAAATTCGCAGACAGGGAAGGGGGAGTAGAGCTTAACGATCTCTTGTGCTTGGGAAGTGCTGCCCCCTGTGGTAGATCTGTGGAATGGCAGGCACCTTGCCTTGGGGAGGTTTCTCAGCCTTTTTTCAATGAGACTTGCCTAAAATACCTAAAGCCATTTCCCCTCCTCAATCACCATCCTCGTGAAATTTTAATATGACAGATATGTTGTATATCTGTTTACATACAGTATGTCTATCTACGGCTTCATACATAAACAGAATAAGATTCTGTCCCTCCTCCCAACCAATTTCTGACCCTTGAGGGGTGATATGGCCACGTTGAAAACGCACAGTCTCAGGGGATGGAGATGGAGAAGAATTCAGAGCCCCAGAACGAGCTGCCCTTGGACGTCAAGTGGGAAACTCCTAACCCGGTGAGGAGGGGGCCCCTGCCCCAGGGCTTTGTGCCCCAAAGCGGGTGGTGGTGCGGGAAGTTGTCCATGCTGCCTGCCCGGTCCTGCCTCCCTCCTGCCCTCCAGGGGACCGGCAGAGAGCAGTCCTTTAGGGTCCGGCTCATATGTCAAATCAGTCCGTGATCTGATCCCATGTTCCTCCAGGAGGAGCCTCAGGCCCCGAGAAGCCCAGTGGTTTGCTTCAGGGACCACACAGGCAGTAAGGCACGGGGTGGCCCGGAACCCAGGTCTCCCGATACAAACACCAGCACTGTTCCCACGACGCCCTCCTGCCTCCACACTGGAGGAGCCTTGGGAAGGCTTCCTGCCGAAAATCCCACTTCAATACCCTTAAACACCACTGTGTCAGTCTGGTTCACGGCTGTATCCCCAGTGCCTGCCACAGCACAGACTAAGTGTGTGTTAAATGGATCCAAACCTTTACTTTTGGTTTCTGGACAGCTCTTTCAAAACCAAGATTCTGCAAGAAGGTGCCTTTCCCCAGGCAGTGAGAACTGGGTTCGAGTCTCAGGAGGACACACAGGGAAAGGGGAGCCTGGAGGCTGCCCGAGAGGTAGGTGGAGGTGAAGGCCCGAGGCTGGTGGCAGGTGGACATGGGGACAAAGCAACAAGGGACTGTAGCTGGAGGTCAGGGGACCAAAGACAATTGAGCCTCGGGTGGGCTGTGGGCTTGTAGGCTAAAGTGAGCAGGTAGAGGGTATGGACATGCACCGAGGTGCCCCCAGTGGGACCTGGCTGGCAAGAGCTCCCTATTTGCAGAGGCCCATCTCCTTGTTGGTCACTGGACCAAAAGCTGGGCACCTCTGGCAGCCACAGGAGATGGGGGGTCAGGGGTCAGGCAGGTTGTGGCATTGGTTGGCACTTAGTAAACGTTTGTTGAATGAACAAATGTGAACTGGAATGGCCTTCAAGAGAAAAGTAATTGAACTGAGAATTCCAGTGTGGGTGGGGCTTGTGTAGGAACAGAGGCAAAGGTGGAGAGAACATCGTGAGACTCACCAAAACCAGAGGATCCATTCATTCCACACATGCTTACTGGACACGCACTGTGTGCTAGGCCCTGGAGGGTGGGGGGCGGGCAGGTACTCACTGGGCCCGGTGGAATGTCCCGCGATGTAGGCGAAGACACAGATGATGCCAAGGTAAGACAGCTCAGGGACCGTGCCCTGCGGGGAGAGACAGGGCTGTCTGTGCCTGAGGGGCCAGGCCTGGGACCTCCTAGGGCTCAGGCTCAGAGCCGCCCACGCAGATGAGCCCACCTGCCACAGGAAGGAGGCACACCTGGATTCCTGAGCACCCACGTGGGCCTCCAGGGCTCTGAGGGCAGGAGGGGAAAAGGAGACCAGGAGTGACATCTGGCATTCTAGCTGGCAGGGGCCTCCGCAAGCCGGGCCTGACTGAGAGCAACGGTGCAGCGGAAATGCCTACGGCTGATTTATTCTCTGCCCTTCACCAGTGCTAGCCCTTCATGACACCCCTCTGAGTGAGGATGTTAACTGTTTCAATCCTACAAATGTGGACTCAGCACAGGGAGCCTGGACACCGACCAAGAGGATACTGGGTCCCTCAGGGATTAGGCAGTGGCCGGGTCAGACAATCAGCAGGGGATGGAGCTGAGACCCGGCCTCTACGCTATCTGACAGAATCCTTCTAGAAGCCCTTGGACCAGGAGAGCTGGCCAATCCCCAGCTCTGCTCCCCACAACCAGGGCAAGGGATGGTACAAACTCAGGTGAACAGACTTCAACCAAACTAACTACGCAGGTAACTATCTCCCTACAATTAGGAAAACCGCTGTGAAGGAGAAGTTGGTGCAGGGCTGGAGCTGCCGGGGGTGTGGGGGGACCGGGAACGGCTCCTTCACTGGAGTTGCTTCAGGTGGCAAGGTGACAGATGAGCACTGGGAGGGAGGGACCCTGTATGACCTGGGGAGGAAAAGAGGAGACGCTGAGGCTGGAGGAGCCACCCTGGACACGGTGCCACCTGGGCAGCTGCTGGATGCATTTTCAGGCAGAGCCAACAGGACTGGCCGATGGGTTGGAAGGAGAGTGGGAGAAAAAGAGTTGCTGGGGATGCCACCAAGGTTTCCAAAAGGCAACGATCTCTGTAGCTACTGTCCGGTTTCACTTACTTCTTTTCACTTGCCTGAAGCCCCTAAATATTCTACTAAGAACTTAGACTGGTTTTAAAATGAGAAAATAAGGTCTTTAAAAGGGAAACTTGGAATCATCTGAAACAGAAATGTAACTAGGATCCTCCTCGCCGGCTTCACCATCACCCTCCACCTCGCCTGTTCCTGCACACACCCCACTGCCATGCTGTTCCCCGAGCACAGCCAGCTTCGCCCGCCTGAAGGTCTTTGCGCTCACCCGGGAGTTAAGGAGGAAGTCATTGTGGAAAGGACAGCTTGGGGGAAAAGGCGAAAAATGTCTCCGAATTACAAGAATAATCTCTTCTCACATTCTCATCCTCGTGTATGATTGTGTTTCCAACTACAGACGGTTCCCTGACTTAACGATGGTTTGACTTAACAATTTTCAACTCTACAATGGTCCGAAAGTGATACTCGTTCACTAGAAACCGTACTTTGAATTTTGAGCTTTTCCCGGGCTGTGGATAGGCAGTACCATCCTCTCTCGTGATGCTGGGCAGTTCCTAGGCAGCCACGTGATCATGAAGGTCAACAACCATTCTGACAACCATTCTGTTTTCCACTTTCAGGACAGTATTCAATAACTTACCTGAGACAGTCAACATTTTATTATAAAATAGGCTTTGTGTTAGATGACTTTGCCCAACCATAGGCTAACGTAAGTTTTCTGAACACATTAAAGGTAGGCTAGACTAAGCTATGATGTTGAGTAGATTAAGTATATTAGATGCATTTTTGATTTACAATATTTTCAGCTTATGGTGGGCTTACTGGGATGTAACCCCACTGTAAGTCAAGGAAGATCTGTATATGGTTGGTTGGTTGGTTGGTTTTTTAAATAGAGGAAAATCACATGTATGCGTGGCACAGACCCAGGAAATCTCACTCACTCCATCTGTACATAGTGTAACTGTAAAGGCACTTACTGCAAAAGCAACGATGGTGCGGAAGCAGCCAAGGAGACACAACGTGCTCGCCGTTTTCAGAATATTTCATACTATGGCCACCCTATGTATTCTCAAAATTTTTGTAGAGCACAGGTAATAAATACATACCAAGAAAATGACAAATTAAAATGATGTATTTCTTATTTAGGCGGCCTCTGGTGTCTTGATCTTACTCTGATATCATTCCCCCTTACTGCACAGCCTCTCTGAGAACTGTTTCTGTCTCCACATTTTTCCGATCTGGTCTCAGAGATACTTTTGATATTAGAGACGGACACCCATCTTGACATGCGGTAGGATTTCAAGGTGAGAACTCTGCCCCATTTTATACCCTGGGTGCGGGTATTTGAACAGCACATTTATAAACCAGCCCAAGCTCATCTGCCAGAACCTCATGTCCTGCCTCCTAACCTCCGGATTCGCCTGTGCGGTGGTGGTCCTCCTTCAGGTAAGGTAATCTCCCTCTCTGTCTTACACAGATGTTCAGTCCACAGTGGGTCCGTATCCTAATGCTAGTTTATTCCGCCGTCCATGCTGACCTCCATCTGCTCATTTCTTTTACTTCTCGAATGGAACGATGCCCTATCTTCTGTCTCTTTATTCTAATCCAGTCCGTTGTTGGTGGGCATCACCTAGTGCCGTGCGCTTAAGCACTGGCATATTGCAATACACAGTTTATTGTAAATTCTTCTTGTTTCGCCTCTGCGTTATGGTTAAGACATTATATTTAATTGCTTACTAGCAGGTATGTGGTAGGTAATTGAAGTTCCCCATGAGCTCCACTTCAGGACAGGGCATAACAAAGGATTTGCACACAAAGGGGACGCGGAGTCAGACACGGCTGAGAACCCCCTGGTCTGTTACCGGGACCACCCACCCTCTTGCGCCCCCCTCCCCCAACCCCCTTCTCCCTCCCCTCTCCCAGCCCCTCCCCCTTCTCCCTGCTGGAAAGCAAGGTCAAACCTGGAAGAGCAGCGCCAGTGTCAGCACGAGGCAGGCCGAGCCGCAGATGCCGTAGCCGACCAGCAGGAGGCGCCGCCGTCCCAGCCGCTCCACGGTGCCCGCCTTGGGGGGAAGGAAGGGCGGTGAGGAGCCTCGGTGGCACAGGGTTTTGGGGGGGCACCCAGAATTCTTGGCCTGGGTCTCGACTCCCTCCTCCAGCCCCTCCTTAAGTGCCCTCCTGCCTGGGCTGCCTGCTTCCTGGAACCTAGGCTGCTTACCCTGATATGACCTTGATGTTGGTGCCTCAGACTCTGCATCACTGCCCTTCCTTGTTTCAGCCAACTACAGACCCGGGTCTCCGCTCCCTGACAGACCCCAGCCTCCTGCCCCCTAGTAATAACCACGTTTTCCAGTTTCTGGGTTTGATGCTTTGACATCTAGGGTTCTTGCTCTTGCTGACTCTGGATGGACTGCCCCTTCCACCCTTAGCTAATTTCTAGAGATAGCAAGTAACTCACCTGTCTGCGCATTTTCTGTGAAACCAGCCCAGTCCCCCCAACCCGCCCCGATCAGACTCTCACACCCTGAGCCAGTGTCCCCTGTCCTATCACCCAGGGCAGGTACCAGACAACCAGGACCAGCCCCGATGCCCTGGAACCCCCTGAAATCTTTGCAGCTAGCCTGTCCTAACTCTGCTCACCCTGCCTGTTCCTTCCCATGGAAACCACAGCAAAGGGTTTTGCCCGCACTCCCCACCTCCACTGCCTCCTGAGCCACGCAGGAGCTTCTCCGCCTGGCCCTGTGTGCCCTTCGCTCCCTTGGGGACTGTGAGCAACAAGCTCTCTTTTCAATGGCAATCCTCTCCTGATCTGTTGGCCTCACCACATCCCCGAATAGTAATAAAACTTGCATTTTAAAACAGCCCCCTCCCATTGCCTGCTGCTTCAGTTCCCAACAAGGTCACCCAGAATCTGGCCTCAGGCCATGAGGGGCCCATTCACCCCCGTACTTCCTTTTCCACTTCCAGGACATGCACCTCCCGGTGAGCCTGTACCTTCTCAAATACTCCAAGCTTGGCCCATGCTCCGTCTGACTAGCGTGCCTGCCTTCCTTCCAGTTATAAAGCCATTTCTATTTCCACTCCATCCCCACCGGCGGCATCAACACCCACGCCATCGCTGAGGGCCGGCTCCAGGCCAGGCCCTGCACGGTCACTTTACACACGTCACTTCCGTCCTCTGAACAGCTCTACAGATGGGAACCGTCACTACCTTTCAGTGAGGGCCCAACAGGAGCAAAGGGCAGTCTGGGGGTTGCATGAGAAAGTTAGAGAAGGAAGACCAGCTTCATCTTCTATGCTTAGTGTGGGGCCAACTGGCATCCTTCAAGGTCCAACAGCCCCCATTCCTGGGCCCTCAGATGTCTGCCTAAGGTTCCTCAAAAGATAAAGTGCATTCTTTACTGGGCATGTTTTCCCGAACAAACTAATAGCCCCAGGGAATGCCTAACCTCGCAATAGCTCAGGCTGGCTGGTTTCAGCCCACCTTATCAGAGTCAAACCCCACCGACCTTCATAGACCCTAATCTTCTTACCTACAACCAATCAGAGAACTGTGCACACCTGCAGCCCCCAATCCATTGTACTCACCAATCCCTCACCCGTAAAAGACCCTAACAACCGACCCTGGGTGCTCACACAGGCACCCCTTGTCTGTGTGGCTTGCTGCTGTCCATAGCAGTGTATCTATTAAACATGTCTTTGTTTTTCAAACTTTCCTTTGTCTTTGATAAATTCTTTTACCGCCTGCAACTCCTGCCCGCCGTGTTCCCCAACACTTAGTACCCAGATGCTGCTGCCCCTGTCTTTCTGGCTTGGGTTTCTCCAGGTAGTTTGACGGGGAAGAGAGTCCTAGTTATGCGGATGCCCTAGAGGAGGAGGGCTCTGAGGATGGAGGACGGGTCCTGCCAGAGGGAGGGGAAGGGGCTCAGGGAATCCGAGGGAGGAAGGGGTGGAGGGACCCAGAAAGGTGGACCACTGGGCCTGGGGGTCCCCCAGCCCCTCCCGGAGTCCTCCTTTCCTGCTGTTTTCCTTCCCTTGTCCCTCTCCACCATGCTAAATCCTCTGAAAGTTAACTGGGGCTTAAACTGGCTCTGGGGAAAATACAGATAAGTAATACATAATTTTCCAAGACACCCTTAACCCCCTAGGCAGCTCAAGAAACAGGGATCAAAATCATAGTAAGATAACTTGGGAAAGTTCTAGAGAAAGGACCATCGTGGTCACCTGACCTCGTAAGCAAGCACACCCCTGTCAGTTCACTGTTTCAACACAGGCATAAGTGGCTCAGATTTTAAATATAAAACTCTGAAATAATAGTTTTATGCCAACAATAAATAACACCTACATCGCTATACTCGGTGTTACAATCACTGTAACCATTGTACAAAGGAAGAAACTTGAATTTGAAGGTATTTAAGTACCCAGGTCAAGGTCACACAGTGGCAAGTATGTGCACATCTGAAAGGCCACATCCCTTAAGTGACCCCAGGACCTGTGCCACCAGCAGCTCTCAGTGGCCTCTGGGGGGCTCGTCTGCCAGTGGGCACCTGCTCAGAGATGCCCAATGGAAAGGACACTTCTGGGTCCTCACCGAGATGACGGTCATCACTATGTTGACCACGCCAGCGCCCACAGTTACATACTGGGAGTGAGCGGCCTCCACCCCAGCGGATAAGTAGATCATGTCCGCGTAGTAGTTGACCTAAAACAAAAACATGGGGGTGGTGAGGAGCGGCCCAGAGGCGCAGGCCACTGGCTTACTCTCCTGACTCTGCATACAGCACATGGCCCCGGAAGCCCGGGGGACCCCGTGGGCAGGATGGAGGCAGTAGGTGGGAGCAGGGTGCTGTGACTGGACTCAGGAGACCTGGGGTGGAGCCCGGCTGGTAGCCCTTCCCCTCTCTGGGCCTCGGGTTCTGTGTCTGTAAAATGGGAGCTGGACTAGCTGCCCCCGAGAGTTCTCCCTCTGCTGCTTTGCTAGTCTATGGTCTCAGGCCCCACAGAACGACCCCTCGCCTCCCATTCCCAGCCAAGCCAGCCCCAAGCTCAGCTTCCCTCCTGGCCCAGCCCCAAGGATGCGGGCAGCGCAGCACTTCGGAAAGCCACGCGGGTTGTGGCTCCTGCCTGGGCTGTGTACCCCTCAACATCTCCGGCCAAACACCCATGAGTCCCCGGAGGCCCGATGCCACCCCTTCCTGTCACTTTCTTTGATCACCAACTGGGTTAACTATCCAGCCTCCGACGTTTCCAGAAGCAGACTGCAGCCCCTCTTTCTGTCGATCTCCACCCATTCCCCACCCCGCGTTGATAGATACAATTATAGCAAAAGAACCACGTTCCTGGAAAGCGACGTCACCAAAGGTCGCGGCTGAGTGAGCCCAAGGCGGGCTCCTGACCTGAGCCTGTGGGTAATCGCCCTCCCCGGGAACTGGAGGCTCGTTCCAGGAGGGCGCCTGCTCATCTCAGAGGGTAAGGGACCATCGTGGGAGACATTTTCTCTGGGCACTGGGAAGTGAGGAAGAAGGTTCTGCAGCAAGAAAAGAATGCGGGGAGCACGTGGAGAGGCAGAGGAGCCCCCCAGGCCCCTTACTGTCCCCGCTTCTGTTCCTGACACCCAGCTGCATCCCTGGCCTTCCGCGCCGAGCTGTTTCTCTAAATTGAGTCCGGTTTTGCGTAAGCTGTTCCCAGGGGGCCTCGGTCCTTGCAAACAAGAGCCTCCTGTGTGATAGAGCGACTGCCCAGCTGCCCTGAGCCGGGGCCCCGGACTTATCTAGCTGCTGCCTTTCACTCCCACTCCCCCTGGATGCAGAGGTTGCTCTGCACGCTTTGAACTTTGCGGTAACACGAACAGTACAGCGCTAATATGAACGCTATTCACAATGATTCAGTAAATGTTTGTAGGGTTTAACTGGATCAAATAGCTTTCAAGTGGACCAACATTCTGAGAGCGAGCCTTGCATGGACCCTTCAGACACCCCCACTGCAGGGCTAACAGCCCCCTGCCAACATCCTGCCCCTGCCGGGGACCCAGGCTGCCCCACCCTCGACCCCGGCCTGCATCCCTCACCCACCTACCGCGTTGACCCCGGAGAGCTGCTGGCCGGCCATGAGCACGATGATGGAGACCAGCTGCCAGCGGAGAGGCTGGAACGTGAAGAGGTTGAGCACGGACAGGCGGCCCTCGGCCCTCTCGGCCTGGTCCTCCACGCGCATCTCTTCTATCTCATCCTCCACATCCTTCCAGCCTCTCAGTTTCCTCAGAGCTGTGGGCAGCAGAGCGGCCCCCACTCATCGTAGCTTCCCAGAGGCAGAGGGAGACGCAGAGGCACAGCTCCGCAAGAGCTCGGTCCCCCCGCCAGCCACAAGCTGCTCTTTTCCCAGGGCAGGTGCTCATTTGACCCCAGTTAGGTCCCGCAGCACGTGGTGTCCCCAGTCACACCCCCACCCTGGTCAAGCTTGCAATGGTCATGATGCCGGCTTTGACCTTGACCATGTTCTCTGCTGGACTACACCCCAGAGGTGCCCTGGACTCCCCAGTGCCAACAGCATCTCCATCCCATCCCATTGGCACCTGTATCTTGGAGCACATCTCCTCGCTACCCTGTCACCTGCCCAGTCTCTGCTTTGGGCACTAGGCAGGGACATTTTCGCAGGCATGGGGAGGTGGCAGGGAAGTGAACGGGGTGAGAGGGTCTTGACAGAGCAGCCTGTATCTTCAGTACCTTGTCGAGCTGTTTCTTCATCTCTTCTCTGAATCAGAGTGTATCTTGGGCTCTCGGGGTAAAAAGGGCAGAGAGAGGAGCTGAAATAGTGTGGGGACCCCCGTGAGTGCCAAAAGCAGAGGCCAGCCTGGAAGGAATCAACAGCAGGAACCTGAGACTAACTGGCCGGGTACCTCCAGAGGCTCTGGGTACCCTCCAGCTGACCCGACTCTCTCCTTGTACAAAGTTGCTCACCTACGTGGTTCCAGCCCTCGATGAGCACCAAGGGCAGAGGTACCAATCCTTGCCAGGATGCGGCTGCCCAGAACCTACCCACAAAGGGCGTCCTCATTTAAAAATGGGGAAAGTGATTTTAATTTTCAAAAACTATGTGATTTAGTTCATTTTGCAGGAAGAGCATTGCTTTTCTTAGGAACAGTATATGATTTAAAAGAGTGAGCCCTAGAGAGAATGAAGCCAAGCCTTGTTCCTAACTTTATGGCTGGAAATGGGCTAATTGCTACCTTCCTAGAGACTGGGGTTGGGAGGGAGCTGGAGCCAGTGCAGTGGGAGTGTGAGCTCCTTCAGGAACGTTTGGGTTAAAGAGGCAGTACTGAGACTCAGCTGAGCCTTGTTAGCTCCCATGGGAACTGGCTGAGTCACTCAGCTTCTCTAAGCCTCAGTTTTCTCATCAGTAAGACAAAGAGGATGACGATGGTGGTGATTATGTGCGGGCACTCTAGGCAGCAGGAAGATGCAGGAGCTGGGTGGTGTGGCTTCCTTTCAGAGCCCCTTCCACGACACAAGTGCTTAGCATTCAGCTGCCCTGGGGCAGTTTGGGAATCCTTAAAACTAACGGCCTTTCACTGAGCACTGCTGGGTGCTGAGTCTCTTCAAGGTGCTAAGGGGAACACAAAGATGTACATCCACCCCTTAAGGAACCCATGTGGCATTTAGGTACTCTGAGCATATTCATGAAGGAAAAAAAACCCCAAATAACAAACCCCACTGTGTTCCTTGGCCCTTGAATGCTGGCCTGTCTTCAGGCCACACCACGCCCTGGGCCATTCTCTCACCCACTCCCCCAGACAGTGATTTCACCCTTTCTTCTCTGTCCTAACCTGCCTCCCCCGGCCCCCCCACCTTGCCCACTCTCAGGCAATGGCCTTGCCTCCTTTCACGGAGGAAACAGAAGCAACCAGAAGACAATGTCTACAAGTGTCCCATCCACCCACGGAACAGTGACCGTGGCTGCGTGCCCGCCCCTGCCTGCATCCACTGCCCTCGAGGCTGGACCATTCCTTCAGCAGCCAAGCACGCTGTTATTTCTCCGAGCTGAGTAAACCTCCTCTCCGGCCTGCTTCCCCCTCCAGCTACCGCTCTGCTTCCCTCCTTCCCTTCATAGCAAAACTCCCAAGAGTCATGTGTGCCTCTTGCCCGCGCGCCTTCTCCTCCCAGTCCCAGGCACAGTGTGTCCCCATCACTTACCAAAACCGCCCTTGTCAAGGTCACCCATGCCCACCCAACCCGAAGGGCACCTCTGACTTGATCCACCAGTCACACGGGCACATCTGGGCAGTGGCTGGACCTGCGCCTGCGGCTCCCATGCTTCCCCTTCCTCCGGACCTCAGTGAGCCCCTGGTACCTGTTGGGTTGCCCAGGATGGCCTGCAGGCTGAAGATCTGTGCCAGGAAGACTCCCACGATGACGAAAACCTCAGTCATTGTTCCCAGAACACCCCTGAGGTTCTTGGGAGCTAATTCTCCCAGGTACATGGGGAGGGCACTGTAGGAGATGCCTGGGTACGGCAAAACCAAAATCAGAGGAGGAGAAAGGCAGTCCCAGCCTCCTGGGGCCCCGGAGCGCCAGATTTAACTTATCTCATAGTCCTTGAGCTTCCCCATGGTGTCGGCCCCAACCGTTTAGTTTGCACGTATAAGGAAACCCTTCCAGGATCCTCAGGACTCCCGGGGTGCACAGCAGCCTGTGATGAAGTATCCTCCCCTCCCCAGCTGCAGAGCTGGGGCCACTGGTCCCAGGCAAGGACCGTGTTCCTGGGGAGTGAAGACTTAAAGAGATGGCTTTGGCTTTGGCTTGTTTTCTGATTTTTCTAAAGCACCAGTTACTTGTATCACTTTTTTTTTTAATAGGATAAAAACCACTATAGTTAAGAAATCTCGCTCCCCTGCTGACCAAAGCCCCAGATTCTGTGCTCCTTTTGCTCGAAGCCCCTCATCCTACTGTGAATGGTAACCCTCCTCGGAAGATACCTTGAAAAACCTTATCCGTTTTTACTTCAAGGTCAAAGTGTGTTTTTAAAGATCCTTCCCTGATAAATTTTGTTAAATAAGGGGAAGGGGAGAAAGAAGTTTTCAAGGGTCTGGGAATGGAGACACGAGGATGCCCCCAGAAGGAAAAGAGCCATGCAGAGCCAGGCAGATCCTAGTCGCCCCGGTGGCCAGCCTTGACCAATGGTGCTGGTGCGTCTGACTCCCACCCTCCCCACGCTGGTGACGGCGGTACCTGCGCAGACTCCCAGCAGCACTCGAGAAAAGATGATCAGCTCGAAAGCCTTGGCCACTTTGCTGACTCCCATCAGGATGGCGGGGGTGATGGCAAAGACGTTGTTGATCAGCAGGGTGCCCTTTCTGCAAGGACAGCAGAGCCCAGAGGGCACATGCTCTCTGACCCCAGCTCCTACGCTCCAGGGCAGCCACTACAGATGGGCTGGGGAAGGGCCTGAGAGAGGCTGATTATGGGAAGGACAGAAAGTGGGGACCGATGGACAGAAACCCCAGGAAGTGAGGTTTAGGGTCCTCGGGGTGGGGTGGGGAGTGGGAGCATGCTAACGGTTGGGGCTGACGGAAAACCATAGGGAAGGACAAAGGAACGGGCTGCCTCTGCAGGTGGGAAGCTTCCTGTCACTGGTGGTATTCAAGCAGAGACTAGGCTAAATGCAGATTGTCAGGAATGTTGAACAGGGGAGTCCCACAACAGGTGAGATACAGAGTTGGATTATATGATCACAAAGGTTCCTCCCAAGGCTGAAAAAACAGGAGTCTACGAAGGGGAGGGAGGGAGCGTCTGAAAAACAACTATGCTGGTGGCACCCTGCTTCCCCTCAGGGTCCACCCCTACCTTCCAGACTGTGCTCTGTGAACCCTGCAGACTTGCACCAATGGCGCCCTTGCCCCCTCACCCCCATACTTGGCTTGGGTTTTGCCAAAGGAAGAAACAGCATTAGATCAGGAAGGAAGGCTGGCTGCACCACCTTTTGTGATTTCCCCACCCCCTGCCCACCTCTGGGGACCATCAGGACCCTGACTGTCACAGGTGCCCTGAGTCCGTCAGCCTAGGGGTGGGGCGCTGATGCCAGGAGCGTGGGAGGGAGGTCTCTAAAGGGAAACCCAGACCTGCTCCTGGGGGTGGCTAGCCATGAGAGTTCTATGAAAGTCCTCGCTGGGCAACACTGAGGACTCACTGGATACTGCTTCTCTCAGGCCACTTTTCTCTCCCTGGAGTGGCTGTGCGCTTGAGAGCTGGCATCAGAGCCCAAACTCTGAGAGCAGAGGATCAGCAGCCCTCGGGGGCCGAGAGAAAAAACAGTTCACAGTGCCTGCCCCCCACCCCGCCCCACCCTTCCTGACGACGAGGAAGCCTTAGCTCAGCTCAGGGCTGGTCCAGACCCAATTAGGACAAGGCCAGCTCCACCACACTGGCCTCAGGGTCCTCCTCTGCAAAATGAAAAGTGATGAAACCATCTCTGAGGTCCCAAGGTGTGTGACTGTGGGTTCCGACAAGGAAGTGGAGGCCAAGCTTCCGGAACAGTCCAGCCATTCTCGGTGTAGCTGAGAACAGCGCAGTCGGAATTACAGAAAAGCCCGGACTATGGCATGATTGCAGTATGTTGAATGTTTTCTACATTCAAGAATAGAACAAATGGCAAATTAATTGTTACTCGAGTATCTACAGAAAGGA